AGCACTTGTATTCTTATTATGTGGATTTTCAGGGAAAAAAAAACTTGTGTAAAAATAAATCCATTGTTGCAGTTTAGTTCTCTTAAACTGATTTTCTCTGAAAGTGGTAAAATATGTATGACTAATTAAAATAAAGTGCCTTTCATTAGCTTCTAATCACTGCCATTCAAATTTATTTAGGAATTCCTGCATAAATAAACCATGTAAGTATACAACTGGCCAGATATGTTGGTATCTTTTGGTCTGAAGCACTGCCAATTGCAGATTATATGGCGTAAGACTTAAGGCAGTAAAAGAATCAAGGCAAATCCTTTCCTGGGGATCAAGATTATAGGGACAAAGATAAATAATACTTTGTGTTTATAGATTTGGGGGGGGGGGGGAGTTAAATTACAACATAATCTAAATATCAGTGTATTTAATTCTCCCACAAAACAAAAATAATCGAAAGAATGTAGTTTAAGCTTTCTAAAATCATCTGAATATCCAGGAGATACATGAATTTTTTGAAGGTGGATGGGAGTGAGTGAAATTGGGTCCTAAAATGGCAATTTTGATTCATAGCTTTTTATTGGTGATTACTGTAATAGTTTGCATCAAGTTCTCTTGAATCAAGTTGCCACTTGCTTTTGGAACTGGTGACTTTTAACATCAGTAGGTTGTCATCATCATCATGATTTGAGTTCAGCTTTGACTTGGACTGAAATCTACCATTGCCTGCTTCTAATAAAATAGAATCATAAAATGGTTTGGGTTGGGAAGAACCTTAAGATCATCAAGTTCCGATCCCCCTGCCATGGGCAGGGACACCACACACTAAACCATGTCACCCAACATTCCATCCAACCTGACCTTGAAAGGTGCCAGCGATGGAGCATTCACAGCTTCTCTGGGCAACCGATTCCAGTGCCTCACCACCCTCACAGGGAAAAACTTCTTCCTTAGATCTAACCTGAACTTCCCCTATTTAAGTTTGAACCCATTACCCCTTGTACTATCACTACAGTCCCTAGTGAACAGTCCATTCAGAGCTATCATTGCTCAGTTTTGAAAATCCAGATGTTAATTGAAAAGTATTCTTTCCCATTTTACCAAGCCTCCTGTCTCATGAGAAAGATAAAATGGTTCTTTTTGAGCTGCAATCACAAATTTGTTTCAGTTCTGAAAGACACTGTTCAGTTTTCTCAAAATCAAAACATGCTTCTGAGGGAAGGAAATGTCATTTACTTGTTTCCTTTACCAGGTGGTGTTCTCTTGAGGTTTCCCAGCAGCACAGTGATCAAACCCGCAATCCAGCTGACAATGCGAAATAAGACATGCTTGTAGACCAGGGTGCTGTGACTGCACACATAATGTAAAGCAGTTCAAAGGAGGGGGCAAAAAAACCCAACTTTTGGGTCGCCCTAAAATCCCACTTAGCTTTGGAAAACAGAATTCCCTCACTCAAGTTTTAAATCCCTGGTTTGGAAACAAAGTTCTATAATAATCTGTCGTTCGACCTGAAAGTGATGTATTTCCACATAAATACCCTTTGCCAGACTCAGAGCCAAATATATTAGTTTATTCCCAAACTAAGCTGTCCTGTAAAGACTTTACAATGATTTTTTTATTTCAAACATGCCAGTTTTTCCTGGCTGAACCTTTGTGGAAAAGGCACTGCCCATCTTATGTTTGAGTGCTACAGTCTACCCTTGTAAAGAACCACTATGGGAAAGTTTCTCTTAGGCAAAAAGAGCCTGAAAATGTTTATTTTAATGCTTTATATTTAGAATTTTAGAAATCTGTAGGTAGAAATTCCCATGTGAAAATCCTAAAGCCCTTCAAAACTGGCAAAGAGGTGTCTTACGTTCATTTAGTTTGGAGTACAAAATAGTATTCATATTACTATTATTTTTAAAAAAGTATCTTTTTGTGGGTTCAATGAATGGAGTCTGTCTCATCAGAATGCCTAGTCAAGAATTAAGGAATTGCCTACAGATTTTCCCAGTGAGGATTAACATCTGACGTAGTTATGTCATTGCTTCAGCCACAATGGGATCCTTTATCTGCACTCACATATTATGTGCATTTCATTTCTTCCTACAGACGGTGCTTTGTTTGTAAGGGCAGCCTAACTGGATCTGTGTGTATTAGTGCTGCTGAAAAATGCAGATATCTTGACAGGTGTGAAATGTAGGGGAGTACAGCAAAGATTAATACAAGTGCATGATGAGAGGCTACTGTATATGGTGACAACTAACATTGCTGTGGTTAACTTTCATTTCATGAAAACTAAATACATGTGTTTCACACTTCATTGATGGGTTGTAGACTTCAAAGTTAGCTTAAATTTTCATAGACAGATGAATCTATGTCATTTATAGTGACTATTAATTTCTGCAGTTTAAAGCCACTCAGACCTTTTATTCTTTTGATATATTTGGGATTAATTTTCATTAAATAACCATGCCCTTTGGACAATCCAACCTCTTTATTCATCTGATGGATCATCAACAGACAAAACATAAGCGTATAACAAGTGCATAACAATTGGCTCTTATCTGGAATGGCTGTTTTACCAGTGCAAACAAATTGAATGGCAGAACTGTGTCTTGCACTACTTCTGTCTGCCTTTTGGACAGGCCAAGACGACCTGAGTTGTCTGTGTTCTGCACAGGCAGAGCTGAGGATCCAGGGGATTCAAAGAGTTTGAATGGGGCTTTGGAGGATTTGGGAGGGATAAGCCAGCATGCCAGATACCTGCCAAAGAAACCAGGATCTGCAGGAAGTTGGGATGAGGGAGGCTGGTGCTGCTTAGAGCCACTGTTTTGGGAAATTCACTCTCTGCCTTGTGCCATGTGTGCATAGAGGCACTGGTTTAGAGGGTTGCCTGCAGGATTCCCAGTTGCGAGAACACTTGGGTAACTGGGCAAGCATGTGTGCTAGCACCCAGTGAAGGAAGTTAAGTAGTAATCTGGGCTCCTTGCTCCAGATCATTTGCTTCTGGCATCTGCTTCCCTCCCCGAGAGCTTCAGTGCTGTTGACCTTTCCTTGCTGATGGCTTCAGGCTGTTTCAGGCCCAGCTTAAGGATGCCATCACCTGCAAGTGTGCCCTCCTTCTGTTACAAATATGGGTGTTCAAAGCTTATCATGATTTCTAGTGCTGTGGACACAGTGCTTTTTTTGTAAATCTGTTATGGGAAAGGTTTCAAAATAGGCTTTGGATCACTTTGAGTGTTACTTGCCCTGTAGGGGGATTATTGCAAGGAGATTTTCATTTTACTTTCATAGCTTGTAGGCAAAATGACCTGAGGGATGAAGAATTCAGAGTAGTTCAGAGGTTCCAAGTAAACTATGGAGGTGCTTGCAATTCTCTATTATGTTCTTATCTGCAAACAATATGAAAAATGCTTCTGGTGTATACTAGGATCCACAGGCATAATGAGCACTGGTGTCATGTTTGTAGTGGAGAGCAGCGCAAAGACTTCTGATCTGCCATCAAGCTTAGTGGGACATGCCCAGTCCCGGTGTGGTGCTCGGTGCTCTGTGAAGCAGATGCTTCCACAACCTGAGCTAGTGGCTGTACAGCCTGGGCTAAAAACCACTGCCCTTGGCTGGGTCACCTTGCCCAGCTGCTTTTGTACTGGTCTGAGGATAGATCAGTAACTAAAATCTCCATGCTCTCTATTGTTTCCCGTTTGCTTTTTTTACCTGATTTTAGTTTACTGTTTCTTTGCATCTATTGGTTCTTTCCCAAGCTCTCCTTACCAGCTTTTTTCCTTTCTCCAGGTATGAATAGATTTTTGAGTAGTAAAGCCTATTTTCCCCCCCATCTCCTTTACTGAGGCTCTTCTTTTGTGGTTGAATTCTTAGCTGCTTTGGAGAGCTAAACTTCTGCGGTTAGAATCCGCACATACGCGACGTTTGCATTTGGACGAGTCTCTCTATACATCTGCAATTTACAGCAACACATATTAGTGGGCACTGGAGCTCCATGGTCCAGCTGCTCTGGGGTCTCAGCAAACCTATGTCTGTGCTGGTCCCATGAGGCTGGAGGTTGCGGTCTTACAGGCTTGTGGAGCACAGGCACACATGGTATTTCTCCTTTTCTTTTCCAGATGTAGGAGGAGAAATTCTGAGCTGAGCTATAATGGATGTTATTGTCTTGGTTTGCTTGCAGGAATGGGTATAAGAGGAGAATTCTTGCTTCCTACAGCCGCAGTAGTTAGTGTGGACATCAAGCACAGTTTGATGAAGAATAAGTGCCAGGATACATTTTTCGTAGGCTTGTCTTTTGTAATGCGGACAGCAAGCACTGGGCACACAGCTTCCTCATTTGGAGTGCTGAAACTGAAAGTGGAATGACACTGACTGAAAACAGCTCTTGATGAAAGACTGATTTTAATAAAAAAAAACTTTCATCTTTAAATTCACCCTTTGTGCTAATTGATGTGTAATTTGGGTTATTTTAAGTGCAGTTCCCAAAGGAAACAAGGCCCTGTGCAGTCAAGGTAAGCATGAGGGAGTTTGTATCTTCTCCTTGTTCTGCATTCTAGTGATAACAACTATTGGTTTCAAAGTTATCAGTCAAATTTTATAGAGCAGCGTGAGTCTCACAAAATTCCTAATTGTTTGAAAATTTAAGGCAACAAGGAAGAGAGGATTATTTCCTGTTAAAGCTGGACTGTTATGTGAACTTAATAAATTTTACAGAATCTGCATCTTTCTGTCCATTGCTCACATCCTCACACATACTCTGAAGATTTGTTCCCATTAGCTCAGGTGTTTACAAATTGACACTAATTTCACTACTCATTTCAGACACATGGAAAAAGTGGTGGTGCCTGTCAAGCCATTTGTGGTTACTTTGTTATGAGGTCCCAGCATCAGAAGTGTAACGTTTTCATCAAAACACCAAACAATTCCCTTTCCCTCTTATTCCCTTTCCCTCTTATCTGCTGTCAGTTTGTGATTGTTGCATTAAAAAAAAATAAAAAAGTCTCTTTTGATTTCAGAATCGGAAAAGATCCCTGTGATGCGTGGACAGTGGTTTATTGATGGCACATGGCAACCTCTGGAAGAGGAGGAAGGTAACTTAATAGAACAGGAGCATCTCAAGTGCTTCAAAGGCCAGCAACTGCAAGAGAGCTTTGATATAGAAGAACAGGCAAAACCTGTTGACAGGAAGGAGGGTAAGATTGTTTAGATTACTATTTTTATAGTATGCTCCCTGGACGATTGTGGTCTGCTTTTCTTACTGTGATCCGTTCTCCATCCTACCTGGTGGAGAACATTGTTATAGGCATCAATTTACTTTCCCATTCTTCAGCATATCTTGATGTTGTAGGTTTTCCTGCTGCAGCACATTTAATGAACACTGTAAAAATTATATTAATGGCTGAAGAACTTCTTGCTCCCATTTTACTTTCTATCTTTTGTCTGTGTTTGAAATCTCACTTCAAACTGAAATCTCTTGATGGTATAAGAAGAGTCAGTGTCCAAATGTAAACTGGGCATTAGCTGTCTGGCCAGCATTCCTAATTCTGCCCTAAAGGGAGTATCAGTTTTACAGGTCACATTTCATTTTCTGTTCTTGTTCAGTCTATGAATTTATTAAAGTAGTTTTCAACTATAGTAAATCTTGGGGCATTTTCATTCTGTTATGGGAGTCCTTACATTTTAATGACTAGGCTGCGGACATTCAGTTGGTGTTCCTGGAAATCTCAGTCAAATACATTTTATGTTTTTAATAACAGCCTTCTGAAATTACTGATGTATTATTTAACATGCACAGTTGAATTGGTTGCTCAGGGTAAGCATAGCACAGCAGAATTTCAGTATTTTTGGCTTTCACACTTCACTTTTGTTTGTTGGTTGTCACTTGGTGGAGTCTACGAACCAAGAGCTGCAAGTACAGAGCCTCACAATAGTTCTGGTTGTGTTATTCTTTATCAAGCAGCTTTATTTTTAAACTCTTGAAACTACAGCTTTGTACAAAGCACTTACAGAGTGTAGGAGTGGCTTTGTTTTGGCCACGAGTATGGCAAGTGAACTACATGACCACACAAGTAAAAGCTTGTTAATGAATTGGAAGCAAGGCAGTATTCGAGGTACTTCTGTCATTACTGTAAGAAAAACCAGAATATAACTTGCTGACTTAGATTTTTCAACAGTACAGACAGTAGTTAAGTTTCTAACTCCCCTCAAAGCTAGCAAAAAATCTGTGAATATTTATTTTCTATTTCTGCTACTTTAAAAGATCTTTTCCCCTGGCCAAGCCTGTAGTACAGTCTTCTGCTTTAACAGCTCTGTCAGGTAGGTGCATAAAATGGTGTAGCAGTACAATTGCCCTTTTGAAAGGCACTTTTACCTGTATTTCTGTCTGCTTGTACTGATTTATTGTTTCAGTGTACTGGTGCAAACCTCAGCTTTGGTAGTACAGCTACACACTCACTGTGAGAGCAGTGCTGTTTGTGGTAGCGTAGATGGAAAGCACATCTTTATGGCTGCTGAGTGCTTCCAGCCTTTGATAACTTAATTTCTGAAGGAAGGAAGGAAGGATGGCTTCAGTTGTGCTTGGATTCTCCTTACCAAGTAAGGAGGAGAATTCAGGGTTTGTTTTAGAAAACATCTGGTCTGTGAAGCAGAAATTTTCAGATTTGAGGTTTGAGAGATTGGCGAGAGAGATAAAAAATATACAATCGTGGTATTTATGAAAACATAAAAGATCAGAGAAAGAAACTACAAATTCTGACACCAGTGCCTTATTTAAAAATAAACTAAAGGGTTATTTTTAAAAATGCAGAACTAACAAACCCAAGCTATGCCTGCAGTCACTTCAAAATGGAATACCTGTCGACTCACCAATAACTTCCAGTAGATTTTTTGGTAGTAATAGGAGAGTTGCAGGAAAATTCTAGCTAACAGTAAATGTGAAAAGTGGTTTTGTTGTTGTAACATGCCTCTCAATTCATCTTTGATCGGCTGGCATCCGTGATTGCTGTCTGCACATGGCACTGGGATAAGCTTTACAACTTGCATTATTGCTGGTGAAGTAAACGTAATTAGTTGAAGAAGTGCTGAATTCCGTTTATAAATTTCTTAAATGCTACAATTTGTTGCTACAATTTGTTGTAATTGCATCCTTTATGAAGCGTATTTTGGTCTCATCAAGGTCTACAGTTAGCTGTTATTTAAGACTGGGGAAAGTTAGAATAGATATTTACAAATATCACTGGGAAATAAAGCAACTATTCAGTGCTATGATAAAGCATTGTAAATGATGAAAAAACAGCCGCCTCATCTAATTCCTCGACAAAATTAATACAATCTGCTGTAACAGTCTCTTAATACTCAGGCATAATTACTTTTTTATATGAACATGCCATGTTATTCATTGCATCATGAATAACAAAAAATTAGCTTCTCAACAAGCATCGTGTTGATAAGCAGTAGATGAACTTGTCAGCTCTTGATTTGACCCCAGCCATGCTCTAAATGGTGGCAGTAGGCTGAGAAGTTAGGAGCAGGTTCAACTTTGCTGCTCCTGTTCTGAATTATTTTCTCTTACTCAGCCTGCTAACTCAGGGCAACATATGATAGCCTGAAGCTTAGTCTCTAAGACTCAGTTCACAATTTATTTGCAATTAAATTTTATTTATTTATTTATTGTATTGTCCTCTGAAATGTTTTTGTGAATGAAACAGAATTGCTAGTGAGTTTACTAGGTGCTTGGCACCCTCAGCCAGCAATGGAGTCGACCTTTTTCAGAACAGGGCAAGTGATGCTGCTTCCCAACTATGTGTGGACCAATCCACTCAGATGAGTCGGTCTCTGCAAAAAATGACAGCAAGCACTATGTACATTACCTGTGAAGCTGCTCAGCATGCAATGTCCATCTTCTTTCCTTGTATCCTTAATTTTGGGATACAGGTTGGGAGAGTACGCTTGCTAGAAATCTAGAAAACACATTTCCCACTCGAGTGATCTGCTTTATAAGTTCTGCTTCTGGGTTGCAGTATAGTAACAGGCTATCACAGAATTGTAGAATACCCGGTTGGAAAGGACCTCAAGGACCATCTGGTCCGACCTTTCTAAGCAAAGCATTGCCTAGACTAGATGTCCCAGCACCTTCTCCAGCTGAATCTTAAAAGTGTCCAGTGTTGGGGAATTCACCACTTCCCTGGGCAGATAATTGCAATGACTGATTGTTCTCTACTGGGGGAGGAGGGAATAAAATCTGAAAAAAATGTGAAATTACTAATCCTCATTCAGGGCTTTTGTTGGTGATAGGATATTGATGAGTAAATGCCCCATTATTAAACTCTCAATCCAAGCAAACCTTCTCTTAAAAATGCAAAATCTTTCAGAATAGGATCTCCACCTTGTGGCCTGTAAGTAACATAATACCCATGCTACCTTTCAGTGCTGTTTGGGAACATGTGAAGCTGTAATGCTGAAGGTAACAGGAAGCATATGACAGTATTTAACTGAAGATTTCTCAAGTTCTGTTTTCTGTGAGGTAGTCTGGAGACCACTGCTTCAGTGGGAAGTCCCTCTGCTGAGCAATCTGTAGTGGTATTTTGGCTATCATCCTTACAAAGTATTTAATTTCGTGCCTTGCAAAATTAAATGTTTATGGTGCCTGATGCCCACCTACTCTGCATGGTGACTGATCCTCTTTAGTGGTCTGTTGAGCTTTTGGTCTCAGCGGTGGCATGGCTTTCTCATCAGGTAAATTGTTATGGTAGGACACAGAAATGAGGCACTTTATTTCTTAGGTTAATGTGACCTTTAGATTTGCCATATCCAGTTGACCTGGATTGTCTCTGAGAAGGTTATGTCCTGTAGGAGTCTGGAGATGTGGTTCCAAGCTCTATGTGCTGCTATAAAAATTAGTCAAATTTCCAAGATTTCTGGAGGGATACTTGGTTCTGAATGTGTTGGCATATGTAACATGTAAAAGGTCAGCTATCCTGACCAGCAGTCTCTGAAGTGCAGCCTACACAGGAGGTATTGGCATGTGACAGCCAGTGCCTCAGACCACCACAACCCAGGCAGAATGCATGCGTGTCAGAGACGTATGTTGGGCCCATGAGCCTCGCTCTCTCTTCATTGACTCTGCAGAGAGCTCTGCTTCCCAAGGTTCCTAAAACCAGGCCAGAGGAATGCTGCTGAAGTTCTGGTGCAAGCAAACATTGCAAGGGCATCACCTGTCTCCTCAATAACTTGGCCACGCTCTCTGTCACATCTCATCATCCCAGAGTCTGCTTTGATCCTGGCCAAATTCCACATATATTTTTCAGGTTAAGTAGTTCATTTTATTGTTGATAGATACAGGAAAGGATGTTGCTATTCTGTCTTTTGAGACAGAGTAACCAAGGAGGAAACCACACTTAGGATGAGGAATTAGGGGGTTGGCTGCATTTTGACTGCTTTGTTGTAAAACCAAATGTCTGCAGCCTGCATTTGAGCAAATCATAAATACATACATGTACATGCATAAATTACTAGCAGCACGAGATGTAAGGTGACATTCTGGTGTAAATTCTTAGGTTCCAAATTTTGAATAATTAGTACAAACTTCAACCCTTAAAATGTGGAAATACCTGTGGTGCTCATTTTATCACACTGAGAATGGGTTATATCTCTGTGACTTTTCTTGTATTGCATATACGCAATTACACTTAAATATATTACTACTGTAAAATAATTCTATAAATATTTCTGAGAAAAACCTAGGTTATAACACTTACGAAGCATATTTCAGCTTCATATTATAGGAAGCAATATTTCAGCTGAATCATTTTTAAGGAGATATAAAAAGGATATAAAAGAATACCTTTTTAGCAGTCAATAAACTTAACACTTACAGAATAATATAAGATTTAGCAACTGCTTTTTATGCCTACTTAGGCAGACAGTGGACCCATCTAAAGCAGTCTATCAAAGGAGCAGCATTCTCAAGAGATTTCAGTAATATCAAGGCCATTGTAAGATAAAACAAAACTGTGAACTCAGATCATAGCAGATGCTTAAGGGTTCTCAGACTAGATATTTTGCAAACAGTGTTTAACCAGTGATGTTCAGACCAAGAGCTGCATGATGGAGGGTCAAAGTCACTACTTCAGTGTTGGTTTTTCTCTTTCACTCTGTGGGCAGAGTGTGCATGTGGTGGCACTTCACTATGGAA